GCCGAGAAGGAGGCGAGACATGAGTCCGAGGTGAGAGAAGGGGAACCGAACACAATCCTGGAGGAGTCCAGGAGCGGGGTTTAGAGACGGATGAGTTGATCTAAATTTATTTTGAAGCCATGTATGAAACCTGAACTTTCGCTTTACTCCTATTCTTTTATCACTTTTTAAAACCAAATATCCGCAAAATCACATGCAAAAAGTGTCTTATGTTAAACCAGAAAATAGTTTAAAAAGTCCAATTTTTTTTGATAGTTATGAAAATGAAATATAAACTTCTATCACAAGTCCCAAAATGAGCTCTTGTAGCACAAACACAAGATGATTTTATTTAACTTTGAGCAGAAACGGGTCCAGACTCCATCCCAGGTGATGATTGGTGGATTCCACTGCACAGCAGGTGTTTTATTTACTGTTTAATGAAGACTCTTTTTATTTGATTTTTTTTTTACCTTCCAGTTTGTTTGTTTTTTCGAGGCAGGATGATTGTTCAGGCTCGATCAATCAAACACAAACTAATTTATTCTTATGTGACAAAATAAAATTAGCGGAGAGGGGAGGAACAAAAATTCCTAGAAAGTCTGACATGAAAGCACGTTATGGCCTTTTGAGGCAAGTTGTTTGTACCTGATGTAAACATCCAGCCTGTCCCTTTAAGATGATGTGTTGAGAAGTTCACGTCGGGGTCACTTAAAGTTCCTGCCCTGCGTTTTACCTTTTAGTTTCTCTGCTCCTCTGACATCACGCAGGGCGCTGAAACACTTCAGGGCTCCAGCGTCGTGTCGTTATTGAGCAGGACGCAAAAAGAACAGCAGCAAGGAAATTACGAAAGAGAAAAGGAGGAAAATGATACTGGTTTAAGCACGTCTCTCTCTCTTTTTCTTTCTGGAGGGGGATGAAGGAGAGGAGGGGCAGAAGTGGGTGGGAGGACGGACCCAGGGAGCGAGAAGAAATTCATATCAATTAATAATCAGGAGGAGAGAGGGGGGAGAAAGAGCTGGCAGACGCGCTCGGAAAACTGGCATGGGTTTGTTGGAGGCTGGCAGTTTAAGGCTGAACGTCAGATATGAGTGGTGGATGCTGCTGAGATGATCATTAAGGGAGACGCAGAGCGGATGGCAGAAGACTTCGAGCATGCAGGTAAGAGCTGAGCCCCAACAAGAGGACGAGGATGCCATTTTACGCATTTATTCAAAGGAAGTTTGGTTTTACGCATGACATCCTGCGGCGTCTTTTTTAAAATTCATGCGTAATTTTGACTCAAAAAAAAAAAAAAAAAAAAAGGCAAAGCTGCACCCGTTCTCCAGTTTTTACTTTTATTTACAGCCTAACATTATATGTTTTTGCCATTTTAATTAGATTTAAACACTAAATTTCTCACTTTATTTGGAGTCTGACTGTTAAAATTTTTGTTTTTAGATGCTTGAAAAAACAATTAAGTTGATCTTGAAATTTTGCAAATAATTAAACAAAACTCAGATTTTTAAAAAATAATACTCTTTTAAGTGTAAGTTTTTCTTGCGTTAGCTAAATTAACAGAGGAGCCAGAGCTCAGTTACTTAGTTTCATATATTGTAAGTTTCATTTTTACGCACTTGGGGACATTTTAAAATATCTGTTTGTTTCATTTTACGCATTAAAGGCGAGATTTTTTGATGAGGTATCAGAGTTTGGACAAAAATGAAGTGGTGTAAAAAAAAAAAACATCTGTCTGCTCCACATTCACGAGTTAAAAACAGTTTCCCCCCCCCATTCTGTGGAAGATAAGAGGCAGCAGCGGGTCAGACACATGGATTCATTCGGTTTAGAAATGCACCAATAAACCGGATCAGAGGCTGAGAGGACGGATCCTTTCAGTTCTCTGTTTTCCTGCGTGGGAAACGCGCCCTGAACATCTCATATTTAACTCAAGCTCTTTAAATCTTATTTAATTTGGTGAAACAAGCTAATTGTCTTTCTAAAAAGGAAATTTTGCATTGAAATGATTAAAAATTGTTCAGTGTTTTGCTCATCGATGATTTAAAATGATTAATTTGACAAAAAAAAGGAGCAGTCTGCTTTATAACCAACACATTTCCATTTATTAATTTTTTGATAAATAAAACAGGACAATGCAAAATTTGTGCTTAAACTCTCTCAGCTCAGTTTAAGGATATTTATAATAGGCATTAGACAGTTTTTCATAATAATTATGATATGCAAATAAACAGAACTGACTTGAAACTCCAAAATCATCTTCATTAGTGCAGCTCAGTTATTCCAAAGTAAAGTAAAAGTTGGAACTAATGAAGTGCCACTTTATTCAAAAAGAAAAAAAAAAAAGCTAATTTGCTACTTAAATGAAAACGATGGCTAATAGCTTTTTAAATTTAAACCACACTGAATGAGTGCAGGCAGCAAGTTCAAATGAGAGAAAATGAAATGTCAACACAGCGTTCTGAGCAGCTGTCAGAAGTGTTTATGTGACTGAGGCTGATCGGAGGGGTCGGAAGTTTAATGCTTTGCTTCACTCCAAAACCACAAAATGACAAACCAGAAAAAAATATATCCCCCCTCAAAACACTTGGCAGTAATGAATATTAATCAACTGCAAATAACTAAAAACATTTGCTGTAAACTACTCATCAGCATGCTGACGGGCCGTTAAAAAGAAAGCTGTCAAATGAAAACAGCCATGCATCCCACAGGGATTCAGCTTTTTTTAAATTTATTTTTTATTTTCGGCAACTAAACCATATGTGCAAGCTTGAAACACGTTGCATAAAAAACAAAAACCCAAACAACAAATAAATAAACGAGAACTTGATATGAGACGTGTTAAGGCCAAACATTGCAGTGACAGGATGCAGGGAGAGTACAGATGCCTTCTAGATTAAGATTGAGGTTCGTGATGCAGGTTTTACGTATTTCGATTACAAGATTACACCAAGCACTGTGCACAGTTACTTCTAAAACGCAAGCCTTTTAAATGACTCACACACACACACACATACACACACACATATATATATAAATATAATCTCTGTTAGTTAAACAGCCACCAAGATAGTTTTTTTTACAAAACAGAATCAGTTATTTGCAGTACATGCAGCACATTTTTATGAGCGTATAAGCTGCTATATTTAAATTTTAAGTCTCTTTTAAATGTGCATCGATTTAACTGCGTGTCATAAATACAAATCCACATGCAGAGGTGGGTTATTTCTCTTCTTCTTAAGTAAGAAGCTTGATGCAGCCGAGAATGTACACTGATTTTTATCTGTGAGGACGCAGCGTGTCACCATGCACGCACCGCACAGCGACCGCTGACAGTTAGCTGAGCACAGTGGGGACAAAAGTTCACCAAGTGTGGCCAGTTATATCTCCTCTTGTTTGAAATATACAGGATTAGAAGAATGTTGAAAATTACTGTAAAGTATGATCATTACGCAGATGAAAACATTTGTGACTCGACTGTGAACCCTTAACTCGCCACACATTCCTGTATTTTATTATTTATGACCATATGGTAAGTAATAAATCACACACAAATTATAAATGTGGTCAAGATTAAAATAAAATCTAACTTAAAAAAAATGTGCTTAAAACAAAATTTCTTACGTTTTCATGATAGTTTACTTTCTCATCAGAAAAAAAATGATGTCATTGTGACTTTTCATTTTTTTGTGCATGCCATTTATTTCCAAGTCTGGTGCTGAATGTGCATTTGTAAAAATCAATCAATACCCAGCGGAGACTTTACCGAGAAGTCCCCCGTGAGTTGTAAAGTCATTGTCAAAACCTGTGAGAAATTAAATTTTTGTCATAAATTCTTCAGAGCTTCTTAGTTCACTTCTCAGTTTTTTTAATATTTGAAATATTCATACTTCCTTATTCTTATGCTGAGCGCTCACGCCGAGCGAAATAAACAAGAAGTGCATGAGCTGGTGTCAGGAAGACTGATCAGACAGATGACATGATATTTATTTAGTTGCTTGTTTCCCATCAGTGATACTAAGCCCCCAGAGGCAGTTTGAGACGTTTAATCTCAGAAGTAAACTATCCTCAAATGCCACTGCTTGAACAATACGAGGGGTTTCATGCGTGCAGCCGATGTAGTTTATTTTAGGCTTGATGGAACAATTAATGTTGATGTTTCAGTGTGTTTGCCTCGGTATGAATGTGTATGTGTGTGCGCATTCAATCCCTAGAGCCAATCTCAGCATAAAGTATTGAACCGTCTAATGCTGATTTATGTCCTGTGTGCTCAGTGTTCCTTATATGACTGAGCCGAAAGGCGAGCTGGAGCCCTATCTTTTTTTGGACGTGTCCTTCGCTCACAGGTTTATACCTGCTGTTCATCACACTTGTGAAACATTAATCCCTCGCTTTGTTTGAAGCTCCCCGCTCAACTTCTGGAATACGTTACCTGGAATCCAGCAATTACAAAATATGTATCTGTGGTTTGGACGCTTTCTCACTTTCTCTTATTTTGCTCGCTGCAGAGGAAGTCGATTCAATGAGTTGAATTTCTGATGATGAGAAAACCATCACAAATGCTCACCTTTTGTAAAAGTTCACCGTTTTCTGAATGGCCTTCATGTGCACTTCCCACAAGTTCCACACTCTGCTTACTCTTTATCAGGTCGCGTTTTGTGGAAAAAAAAAAATATATATATCTAGTTTATATTATAAATCTTTAGGTTATTAAAATACAAAATTAATAAAGAAAAAAAATCTATGTAACAAAACAAAATAATTGGACCCCTAAAATGCATTTGCATTGTATTTCTTTAAAACTATTTCTAAACTTGAGTAATCCTTATAAATTACATATGAAAAATCAGTTTTACTATTTACTCATACTTTTTGTTTTCAATAATTCTTTAAATATTCCAGTTTAAGGTTTCATATATTTATTAAATCCATCAACAGTGCTTACAGAGGTGCAAAAATTTCATTTAAAATGGAGTTTTCAGAATAGAACTGCTAACGTTCTGCATGACGTTTTAAAGATTTCTGTTGTTGCAGGTGGTGGACTGAAGACAATGCTGAATGCCATGGAAGTTCCAAGTCATGCTAGGGATCTCCTCCTGCAGCTGAACAGCCAGCGCACCAAAGGCTTCCTGTGTGACGTTATTATTGTGGTGCAGAACGCCCTCTTCAGAGCTCACAAGAACATTCTGGCTGCCAGCAGCCACTACTTGAAGTCCTTGGTGGTCCATGACAATCTTATCAACCTAGACCACGAAATGGTGAGTCCAGGTGTCTTCAGGGTCATTCTGGACTACATCTACACAGGACGCCTTAGTGAAGGAGACCCCACCTCTCCCACTGAACCAAATCTGGGTGCTGTCTTGGCAGCAGCCAGCTATCTTCAGCTGCTCGACTTGGTGGCCTTGTGCAAAAAGAAGCTAAGAAGAAATGGCAAGTACCCTCCACGTCCGGCTTTTCTCCCTTACTCCAAGATGGGCCCTGGCAGTTTGGGTATAGGGAATGGAGGCAGGTATAGGGTTTCTACTCCTGTAATTCAGTCCTGTCCTCCAGGAGGAATCCTGAATGCACCCAGGACATCGTCGTTAGAAGACCTGGTCCCCCATCGAATAGCCATTCATACTGGGGAGTTGTATGCACCTACTTCCAACCAGAGCTCTCAGATGTTCCCGTCTCTGCCTGCCCAGCTGGGACGCTCAGCACATCCTGAGAGGAACTGCTCCCCCAGCTTTGGCCTAGATCTTTCTAAGAAAAGCCCCACCTCCCAGTCTCAGCTCACTCCGTCTCAAACTCATCTGGTGAACAGTCACAGCAACGAGGAACGAGATGGGACTCTGAGTGGACGCACTAGTCCCATTCAGGGTACAAATGGAAGAGCCTTTCCATTGGAAAAAGTGGAATCTACGGACCAGGCAGGTTCCCTCACCCCTCCACCATTCTCCCATCTAAACCAGCCTTTGGGCCCTCACCTCCCTCATCTGCATCGCTCAGGTTCCCATGGGACAGACCGCTACCCGTGTCCCACCAGCCCTGATACCCCTACAGAAGGTGGAGAAGTAGGCAGAGAAATGGGTAACATTTATCGCTGGGTGAAACACGAGCCGCTGCCATACACAGCTGAAGATGAAGATGAGGATGAAGAGGAGGAGGAAATGGGTGAAAATGGTGAGCAGCATCATAACCATCACAAGCAAGGAGAGGAGAGCGAAGGAGTGGATGACAAGAGTGGGTCAGGCACAGAGGAGACAGGCAGCAGTGAGGGACGACCATCCCCTACAGGACTGATGGGAAGGTTCCATATGCCGTATGAGCCAGAGAGCTTCGGGGACAATCTGTATGTCTGTATTCCCTGTGATAAAGGTTTTCCTAGCTCAGAGCAGCTTAATGCACATGTGGAGACGCACACAGAAGAGGAGCTGTATGTCAACTCTGGTGGGGAAATGGGAAACAGCAATACTGGCAGCACCAAAAACACGAGCAACACCACAAATGGTTATGGAAGCCTCAACAGCAGCAACACGCTGAACAGTCTTTCACCTCTAGAGACAAAATCTGATCAGGGACTGAATTCAGGGGTTATTGGGGAGATGATAAGACCGTATCGCTGTTCCAGCTGTGAAAAGTCCTACAAAGATCCAGCCACTTTAAGGCAACATGAGAAGACCCACTGGCTAACACGACCTTACCCTTGCACCATTTGTGGCAAGAAGTTCACACAGCGTGGTACCATGACGCGCCACATGCGCAGCCACCTTGGCCTTAAACCTTTTGCCTGCGATTCCTGCGGTATGCGCTTCACACGCCAGTACCGCCTCACTGAGCACATGCGCATACACTCCGGGGAAAAGCCCTATGAATGTCAGGTGTGTGGTGGGAAGTTTGCCCAGCAGCGAAACCTGATCAGCCACATGAAGATGCACAGTAGTGGAGGAACTGCAGGGGGTCTGAACCCAGATGGGAAACTGAAGTTGGACTTTGCAGAGGGCATCTATCCCCTGAGCAAATATGCAGCAGAGCACCTGGGGCTGAAGCAGGAAAAGGCCAATGAGCTCATCATTCAAGCACGGCAGCATCTGGATGCCAAGGTCATAGAGAGCCTGTACCCACTCTCCAAACTGGCCTCTGAGCACCTGGGCCTTACCCATGACAAGATGGATGTTCTGGGCCAACCACTGCCTCTTCCCCTTCCTCCACAGACCCTGTCTGAAGTGCAAGCCATTGACCGCTACTCACCCAGTTAAGACATATGACAATTGTAAATGGCAACCACCAATAAGTTTGCATGCACACACCGTTTGCAGTATTCTAAAGCCATTCACCTCAACCCAGTATCTCCGCTGCACCTCAGACTCAAGCCAAGTGGAACTAGTCTGCTAACACACGCCAAAAATTGTAGACTGCAAGTGCCTTTCTTTGCATCTAATGTATCTCTTAAGTTCTTCATGAAGGAGCTCTTCACTCTTTCTACGTGACCAAGGAACACTCATTCAAAGACTTGCAGTATTTATGTACAGCGTATGCAAAGAAACATTTCTTTTCTTCCAGCTATTGAGCCATAGAGACAAAAAAAAAATTAAAGCCAAAATGAAACGGATTTTATTTATTTTTGTATGATAACATCCAAAGAAAGAGGGTTGCAAAGGAACTTTGCAATCTGACCCTAAACCTGTGTAATATTCATCTTTGTATGAAAAAAGGAAGAAAAAAAAAAAAGCACATATGAACAATATTCAGGGTTGTTTTGTCCTGAGCAGAACTTATGTAAAAGTCAACGCACCAGAATTTAGTTTTTTTTCTCAATTCCATACTAATAGTTGAGTATTTTTGGGGTACTAGATGAACAAATTATCTTTTTAATTTTTATTTTATTTTTTGCTTGCTTGGCCCCTTCATATGTAATGATTGAAATGAGAACTCACTCCTGTATTGTAAGTGTTTTCAGGTTTAAAGTCCCCCCACTTCTCTTTATTCATGTAGATAGATGATCAGCATATGACAACAGTAATCGCTTCATTTACTCTACTTGCAATTTTGACTTTTTTTAAGCTAAAACTTCCTTTTGCAGAGTGACAAACATCCCTTGGCTTTTAGTTGATATTGACATGCAGCAAGCAAAGCCTCGTGATCTGATAAGCGGGACATGATTGCACATCTGATGACACACTAACGGCCGCTCACGATGAGTTCAGCTACGACTCATGCTTTAGGAGAAGTATGGGTGTTGTTACGGACTTTGTTATATTTACAATCGTGGAAACGGCTCGGTAGAGAGGCAGAGACCAGGGAAAAATAATATGACAAAGAAGCCTGACATTTACTGTCAGGCGTCATTAAAAGTGGTGGGATGAATAGAGCGGTAGTAGTCAGAAACCTTGTTCACTCATTCCTTGCAGTCAGTTTACAGGTCAAATTGAGTGCTGAATTCAGCCTTTTTCCTCCACAGACTTGAAGGGATGTTCACTCCACACGCTACAAGCTGATAATCTGTCCACATTATAAACACATTAAAGAGTTTGTGGGTTTTTCCACTTAAGCCAGTGGATGAACAGCACTCTTCAGCTGCTGTGCTTCAGTAATCCCTGTGAAATCTCACTTTCTCCTGGACAGTTCGCACCGCTTGCAGACGTGACGTCCCATTTCATGCCTGCCATCTCACCCCGCTGATCCACTTAGAAACATAATATCGCAGCCAGGCGAACGTCTCTCTTGGCCTTGCCTCTCTACTCTGCTGGGATCAAATTACGTTTTTCTGTGTTGGATGACCAGCAGCTCTTCCATTTTGAATACGACAAAAAAAGCACTTATAGTTGCGGGTCAAGGGCACATTTTTGCCTGTTTGTATTCCAAAAAGCATGTTGGCCTTTTATTTTCTTCTTTTCCACAGGCTAGCGAAGTTTGACCACTATTAGTGCCAACGCCAACCTCAGTAGTGAATGTGAAGACTAAAGCCATAAATACACTGTGATAGTAGTGAACCTGATAGGCTTTAAGAAGCAAGAAAAAAAAAGTGCCTGATTTTTGGATTTCTTTTTAAAATGTAACATTTAAGGGCGTTGTTTCTGTAGCATATGATCATATCAAATATGTTGTATCCTGTGACTTTTTAAAATCAGAAAGCAGCGCACGTAAAACTGGTGCTTACCTCAGGACTGAACCCAGCATGGAAATGCTAAACTTTTTTTATAAATTGTTTGCTCCAAAATAGCATCACATGCACACAATCACATATACGCATTTTATTTTTATTTTCTGTCACAGGGCAGCCGTCCTGTAATAAACCTGTGTTTTTTTATATATTTTTTTAATTAATTTTTATTGTTTTATGGGAAAGATAACCTGTGATATTAGCATTTTTGTTTTGATTTTCATGAAATGGTATATTTTATGTTGAACCTCAAAGAGGCTTTTGTCAATTTGACCAAATTCATTGTTACATCGCATCTTATTTTTGGTGATTGTGATTTTTAACATTTTGGTTCATGTGATGGCATTGATGTTTGGTTTTAGCCACACATACAGCAATATCTAGGTGACAAGTGTTGAATTTTGAAATATCTCTCCTCCTGCAAGGCCTAATGCATCATCAGCACTTCCTTAAACAGACAAGCCTGCAAGCTAGCCTCACAATGTTTGGCTTCTTTGCTGCAGAAGATAGTGAACCTTTGACATGAGCCAGACAGAGGTCTTATACTTGCACAGAAGCACACAGGAAGCCGTCTTGTTTTGCTTGGTTCTTCAAGTTTTGAGACTCTTTCTTGTTTAGTTTTGTGACTTAAAAAAATATATTAAATAAAACGGTTTAAACTAAACACTGGTAGTACGAATGCACTCCGTAAACAAGTGCATTTGTCACAAAATGTAAGCTCGAGCGGATGCGAGTCGTGGGAAATTCAATCTTCTCTATCTCCCCCATTCACCGGCTCAAATGAAAATGTCTATTCAATTTTCCCCCCCTTTTTTTTGCCAACACCACTAAAAAAACAAACCGTTTCCACAGCCACTTCAAATCTGTGTTAGAGGAACAAGATAATTTTTTTTTAACGTTTCTGTGGGATCTGCACCAATTGAAATTGGCTTTTTTTGTATTATTAACAATAGCAAACAGGGTTGAGCATCTATAGAAAGAGAGGAAGTATTTGCTTGTCTGTTTGTGTGTCACTGTGCTATTTGAGTGTATGGAGAGCTGTTAATGCACGTCCTGGGAATAGATTTGGTGTGAAGGAGAAGAGCTGAGGAGCAGGAAGTGAACTTTTGGCTGGTGTGTTGTGCTGAGCAGGATGTGCCGTGTGTTTTCGCTCAGAAGGAGATAGAGGGTTAAAGAACAGGGAGGGAGAGGAGCAGGGCGAGCGCAGCAGGGTGGACACGAGCTATTGTCTCAGTATAAAAGCATGTTCCTACTTCTAAAACTCACTTTTAAAAAAGCGTAAGCTGTAGCTCCTTTTTTCTTTCCTCTTACTGCTCTTTGGGAATAAACATTAGCATCATAAAAATGAACATGCAGTCTGGACGATGAACCAAGTTTCAGGACCAGATTTTTGACATTACATCCTATGTACATTATAAATATTGCTCTTTAATAAGTGTTGTTTTTCTGGTTTAATTACAATAGAAAAAATCTTGTTACAATTGATTAATATAGCCTCGTTGAATTTTACACTATATAATTTTAATATTCTTTACATGAGATGCCAACCAAGTCGTCCTCTCTTTGACACCAAATTGGTTTTGGTAAAAAATTTTTGGGAAAATTGAGGCATTCAAAACAAATTTGTAGTCATTATGTTATTTATTGGCAGCTTTGAGTTTAACAAAACGAGAGTAGAAAAATAAGTTCAGTATGTGACACCCATACCGTTGTTACTGTACTTTACAGTTTATGCCCACAAAGACTGCAGCACCGAAATACATCACAGATGTTAAAATCAAAGACTGTTTTTGTGGCTTTCACAAGTCAAATAGTTGAGCAAAGCCCCTGACCAACTTTGCCTGATCATAAATATGACTAAACATGGAAATTCACTGTTGGAAATGTTACTTTTCTCCCATCTAGTTTATTTGATTTGAACAGGATTCATGTTTAAATCAAAGCTACAGCCAAGGTGTGTTAGTGGAGCAGGGCGGAGGTGGGCCTACTGGAGTTCAAGCCTTAGCTTGAGTCTTAACCAAAGTGCCTTAGTTAGAAAATTTATATGCAACAGTTTATACAAATATGTTTTGAGATATTAACTTAATGCACATGCTCGTCTAGATCATGCCTGTCCAACATTACAAGATATTTGACCCTTTCAAAAGTTACATGTAGCTGCTTTAAAGTGTACTTTATTGGGGAAAAAAGGCTATATATATATATATATATATATATATATATATATATATATATATATATATATATATATATATAATCCCCAAATGTCTTAACCAGCTCTCCTCCTGGCATTTTGTTTCCATCCATCTTTTTTCTCCTCTTCCTCCCTCCAGTATGCAGCTTGGCCACGCTGCCCTTTCACCCCAAAGCCCTGCTTCCTTCTTCACCTCTCCTTGTGTCTTCTCTCTTAAACAAGCCGCTGACCCACAGCACACGCCGCCTCCCTCCTCCCCCACGATCCACTTACTTCCAGCTGTTTTTCATGCTGAAGACGACAGTTGTCTAAATGTTTACGTGAGGAGCTACTTTCCTTTTCCTTAAACCCCGATCAATTTCCAAAATGAACTTTGTGGCATGTTTGAAGAAACTGCAGCTGATAATCCCATCTGCCAAAAAAGTAGAAAAAAAAGAAGTATTTTTAAGCCAAGAAATGATGCACAAAGGGGAGATTAAAGTGAATAAATTGCTGTAGAGGAAATGCAGAATAATAGCGAGGGGAAATGTTCAGGGGAGAAAAGGCTCAGAAAGATGCCAGTAAAGTAAAGATGAAGTTGCACAACTGGCTGTACCAGCCAAGTCATGCGCCGAGATGGAGAGAACAAGTAAAGGAGAAGGGTGGAGATGAAAAGAAGCTGAAATGGAGAGAAAAATAGTTTGGGTTTGACAGTCCACGCTGGAAATAAAAGAAATCTGTTTTGTTTGTTCACATCTTTTCTTTACTAATTTGGCAGTTTACAGAAATTAACTGAGCAAGGATTTGTTTACTTTTGGTATTTTTTTTATTATTAACTATAGCCACTAATTCCTCTTCTTTTTAACACATTGTTCATTTTTGTTCGTCCTCTAATACAACATGCGCTTTTCAGACATTTAACACCTGATCAGCTTCTCTTTGTAGCTGAACAGAGGAAAAGTTTCTGCCTGCATGTCATCCTGCATTTGTTTAGGTTGGATTTCAGTTTCCGTCTCAACGGTCAGCACATCCAAAACTGACTAAGTGGATGTTGGCTCGAATCGTTTGTGGTTTTTAACTTTATATATATATATATATATATATATATATATATATATATATATATATATATATATATACATACATACACAGTGTGTTAGTTCTACGCCAGAAGTTTAAATTTGAAGACAAACAAAGAGCATGAACAAAACAAGCAGGAATTTGGAGGAGTCTATCTCTCACACACAGAGACACACACAGCTGGATGGCAGACTGACTGCTGCTCCAGATTAGGTCAGATTTAATTAGGTTGCCCTGCTCCGTTTGGAGTGTCGCTTCTTGTTGAAAAAGTCATTTTTAAAAGAAAAGGCTGCACCATTGACGGCTTCCACTTGACACTTACTGAAACCTGTGCCAAAACATTTCAGAGCCTCAGGGTCCGCCGTTACACAGACAGA